TCCTTCAATCCTACTCCTAACTCTTCCACAGGGTCCCTAAACTCAATCCAATCAATAATTGGATGTAAGTATCTACATCTGTGTCATTCACCTGCTGCTAGAGCCTCTGAGAGGACAGTCATGCTATGCTCCTGTATGCAAGCACAGCATACCATCAGTAATAATGTCAGGATTTGGTACCCACCCATGAGATGGATCCCCAGTTGAGACAGTCATGGAATGGCCTTTCCTTAAATCTCTACTTTATATTTTTCCCCTGAATTTTTTTAGACAAGAATAATTTTGGCTGTACCACAGAAAAATGGTGACAAAATCTGCATGATATTGGTACAGAGACAGACACATTAATCAGTAGAATAGACTTGAAGACACAGAAATAAAGCCACACACCTATGGGCACTTGATCTCTGACAAAGAAGTCAAAATGATGCAGTGGAAAAAGAAAACATCTTCAACAAATGGTGCTTGATCTAGTCTGCTTGTAGAAGAATGCAAATTAATCCATAGTTACTACTTTGAACAAAGCTCAAGTCCAAGTAAAGAACTTTAACATAAAAGCAGACACATTGAATGTAGAAAGTGGGAAATAGCCTTGAACTCATTGGCACAGGGGAGAATTTCCTGAACAGAACACCAGTGGCTTAGGTTCTAAGATCAACAATAGAAAATTGAACTTCATGAAACTGAAATTTGTAAGACAAAACTGTCAATAGGACAAAATGGCAACCTACGTATTGGGAAAAGTTTTTCACTAACCCTATGCCTAATGGAGGGCCGATATGCAAAATATATAAAAAACTGAAGAAGGTAGACTCCAAAAACCCAAATAGACCATTTTAAAAATGGAGAATAGCAGTAAACAGAGAATTTTCAGCAGAGGAATCTGGAATGGCTGAGAAGCACATAAAGAAATATTCAGCATCCTTAGTAATCAGGGAAATGCAAATAAAAATTACCCTGAGATTCCTCCACCTTACACAAATCAGAGTGGCTAAGATCAAAAACTCAACTGATAGCACATGCTGGCAAGGAACTAGAGAAAGATGGACACTCCTCTACTGCTGGTGGGATTGCACATTGGTACAAGCACTCTGGAAATCAATCTGGTGGTTCCTGAGATAATTGAAAATAAATCTATCTGAAGATCAAGCTACACTGTTCCTGGGCAAATACACAAATGATGCTCTATAATACCACAAGGACATATGCTCCACTATGTTCATAACAGTCTTATATATAATATCCAGATGTTGGAAACAACCCAGATGTCCCTGAACCAAAGAATTGATACAGAAAATATGGTCACTTGCACAATGGAATATTATTCAGCCACTAAAAAAAGTCATTAATTTTACAGGCAATTGGATGGTACTAGAAAGCATAATCCTGAGTGAAGTAACACAGACCCAAAAGGATATGCATGGAATTTACTCACTAATAAGTGGATGTTAGCCAAAAAGTAGAGAATTACCATGATACAATGCATAGACTGTAAGAAGTTAAACAAGAAGAAAGACCCTAATGAGGATCCTTCAATTCCACTTAGAAGAGGGAACAAGATAATCATGGAAGATGGAGGGAAGGAGGGACCTGGGTGGGACATGAGAAGAAGAGGGGAAAAGAGGTACAGAATCAATTATTAGGACAGACAGGAGAGATACTCAGAAGGCTAGGAAAATAAATGTAAATATTCATCTGTAGCAGATGTGGGTGGGTAGTAGGGGAACATCTAAATATTCTAAGATATCTGGGATGTGTAAGGCTCCCAGAACTCAGTGGAGATGTCCTTAGCTGAAATGCCCACCAGTTGGGAGATAGAACCTGAAGAGTCCACCTCTAGTAGATAGACAGGGCTCCAGTGTAGGGATGGGGCCACCAACTTACCTTTAAAGTGGTTAATGTTCTTAATCATTCAGAAAAAGCAAATCAAAACACCATGAGATTCCACCTTATACTGGTCAGAATGGCTAAGCTCAAAAACTCAAGTTATAGATCATAGTGGCAAGGATTCAGAGAAGGCAATGACTCCTCCATTCCTTATAGGAGTGCAAACTAGTATAACCTCTTTGGAAATACATTTGATAGTTTCTCAGAAATATGGGAATAGTTCTATTTCAAGACCAAGCTGTACCACTCCTGAGCATATACCCCAAAGATGCACCATTATACCACAGGAGCACTTGCTCAACAATGTTTATAGCTGCTTTATTTGTAAAATTCAGAAACTGAAAGTAACTTAGATGTCCCTCAACTGAAGAATAGATGACGAATATGTGGTACATCTATGCAGTGGAATATGATTCAGTTATTAAAATCAAAGACATCATGAATTTTGCAGGCAAATTAAAGAAACCTCCTAAAGTTCCTTCTGATCATCCTCAGTGAGGTAATCCAGCGCTAGAAAGACATATATGGTGTGTGTTCACTTATAAGTGGACATTATCCATAAAATGGAACACAATCGTGCTACAATCCACAAACCCAAAGTAACTGGATAATAAGTAGGTTCCAAGGGAAGATGCATAAACCTCACTCAGTGACAGAGACCAGCTAACAAAGACGCCTTAATGAACAGACAGACTACCTCTCTGATGGCAAGTAGCAAATTTTTTACTTCAGCAGTAAAAGATATACCAACAGTATGACTTAGCAAATTTGAATTACAATAACATCTCTTACTGATACAATAAAATCTTGTGTGGATCAAAGCTATCATCCTGAGAACATTCAAAGAAACACATACCCTCGACTCTTGACAGCATTCCAAGATTTAAGGAACACATTATCTCGGCTTCCAGGCTACCTCAAAGTGTTTTTATTATTCCCTTGAACATGGAGATAAGCGCAAGGCATGCTGAGGGTTATGTTAGGACACCCATCCCTTTCAGGAAGGGCAGCCCCTGAACTCTTGCTTAGCATCCCCAGCTAACCCTTTCAGGCCAGCAGAGCAAGGTGCAGCCAGCAGTTCTCCTCAACTCAGAAGGGAAAACTAAACAGTCATTGGATGTGGATTCAGACAAAGAACTGGGTAGGAGAGGAGGTGAAAAGGAGAAGGAAAACAGAGATTCAGAGGAATAAGGATGGATCAGCAAAAAAAGAAAAAGGGGGGGGGGGGGGCTGGGAGTGAGAATGGAATTCAATTTGGGCAGGGGGTATATCAGGTCTTCAAGGCCTGTGTCTTCAAGGGTTGGGAATAGATTGTAAGCAGCATTTTTGTGTCCTACTGTCTTTAAACTTGGTAGATTCATTTTTTTCAGAGAGGGTTACCATGTCTACCTACTTATAAAATATTTAGCAGAATCTTCCTTAATCTTGGTTTTCTGAGGATTCATTTTGACTAGATTACTCAGCCATTTAGTAGATACTATTTTCCCTCCTTTTGAGTAATTGTGTATGCTGAACACACATAATTAAATATGATTACATTTCTAAGCTATTTCCCTTTTCAACCCATACCATACCTTCCCCAACTCAACCTCTCTCAACTTCATGACATCTTTAAGCCCAGAAATGGTGCCCATGTGTAAACATATTTGGAGGCAATCTCTGAAGCTTAGAAAATCTATCAGTGACCATGTTTTGAAACAAATGGATTCTTCTTCTCCAGGAAATATCTATATCCAACATCTCACAAAGACAGAAGAGCTAGAAAATTCTTACAAAGACCATACTAGGTTATGACTGGCTTGGTCTCAATGTAGGACTTGCACAGACAAGAGACATCATGTATGCATGAAGGTGATAGGCATGTTCTGTCTATAAGACATTATTTCACAGTGCTCTTGCCCTTGCTTCACCTCTTACATGCTCTCCACCTCCTCTTGCTCCATGTTCTGTGAGTTTTGGAGAGATTTAAATGGAACTGGAAAGAGTTAATATTAAACCATATAATAAATGCTTGAAATAAAACACTGCCTGTTTCTGTCATAGGTAGAACCTTCATTGTATGTCAGTGGTTCTGAATTCTATGTTGTACCTTTTTAACTAGAACCCTAGGAAGCATATATATCTTAAGTGTGGTCCAAGGAAGACCAAGGAAAAGGGAATATTATTGATGTGGAAGCAAAAGTGAGGTGTGGTGAGAAGAAAGGGAAGAGGAGAAAAGAAAACAAATCTGGTTAAATAGAAAAAATACATCCTAAAATGTAATTAAAAGCACCATATATACTGATTAAATTAATTGAAATGATTAAATTAATTAATGATTAATTAATGATTAAATTAAATACAATATAAATACAGTCATATAAATACAGTCATATAGTATCTGGTAAAGATGCAAAAATAAACTGATGGAGGTAGGACTTTAAAGGAATAAATGGAAAACTTCAAGATGAAATAAGTTAGTTTGCTTCAAATAGAAATAAACATGTTTCCATTGCAAGCATTGAATCTTAGACAAACAGGGATCTGGAATGTCTCAGTTGGGAGCATCTATAAGATCTGAGGACAGCATTCTATCATGAATGAGTAAAATTCAGAAAAACTGCAATGTTCTTGTCACAGAGAATGAGTTTTGCTACCTTAACCTTGCAGTTGTAACCGTCTCCAAGAGCGACATTAGGGAAAAGCCATGTCCTGGCCAGACAGTTTAAAAGACTGAGCTAATATCTAGCTCACAATGATATATGGTGCTATTTAATTATATATTTATACTAAGGAATCATGGTAGTATGGAAACAAAACTTGTTCTGTGTGCATACACAAAGTAGAACTAAATGAAATATGGTAAATCCTTAAATATGTGAATATGAAACTACCATACTCTGTCAAACCCTGTAACTGATATCTGTGTCTTTGATGTTATATAACTGCTATGAGCACTGCCTTCAGTTCAGGTCCAATTCCAGACCATGCTATAACAGTAAGATATGCAAATAATTCTTCTCTGTGCCCATGAAAACCAGCCCTGCCCTGACTCTGCAGGTCTGACAGAATAGCCCAGCCCTGGATTCCTAGGTCCTCACATTTAGTGATCAGCACTGCTCAGACCACTCACCATGGACATCAGGCTCAGAGTGGTTTCCTTTGTCTTTTTTGTAAAACGTAACTGGTGAAGCTGAAATTCTGTCTGTTGTGTACACAGAACATGTGTCTGTTTGTATGAGGAATCAAAACGTTGCTTTGTTTGTCTTATTTTGTTAGTGACAGTTATCTGACTAGTATTCTGTGTTTGCAGGTTTCCAGTGTGAAGTTCAGCTGGTGGAGTCTGGGGGAGGCTTAGTGCAGCCTGGGAGGTCTCTGAAACTATCCTGTGCAGCCTCTGGATTCACTTTCAATAACTTCTGGATGGCTTGGATTCATCAGGCTCCAGAAATGGGGCTGGAGTGGGTAGCATCCATTAATAGAAGTGATGGTACCTACTATCCAGACACTGTGAAGGGCCGATTCACCATCTCCAGAGACAATGCCAAGAACATTCTATACCTGCCAATGAGAAATCTGAGGTCTGAAGACACGGCCATATATTACTGTGCAAGAGACACTGTGAGTGAGTAATACTGTGAGCTCAAACACAAACGTCTTAGAAGGCACTCAAGACCAGCAGAGGGCCCAAAAAGCCCATAAAGCTCCTAGATATTGAGTGTTATACTCTATGTAGAAAGTCCTGGAGGAAAGAAAGGATGGGACTCCTTTGTGTCCAGGTTGCTTCTCTACAAGGTTACTATTGTAGTAACCCTTGAAGTATTAAAATGTTTATTCAAATTTCTTTTCCTCTGTTATATCTGTTTCTATTCATTTATTTATTTATTGTGACATTTCTTTCTGTCTGCTGATGTCTGTCTGAGCTTTTTCATCACCAAATCTCTTTGAAAATTGTTTATGTCTCTTGGTCTCATTTATCTCTGTATCTCTCTGTCTTATTCTCTCTCTCTCTCTCTCTCTCTCTCTCTCTCTCTCTCTCTCTCTCTCTCTGTGTGTGTGTGTGTGCGTGCGTGCGTGCGTGTGTGTGTGTGTGTGTGTGTATTGAGATCAGATGTCTTGTATCAATCTACTCAATAACTTGGAAATAAAGTCTATCACTGTGCATGGATCTCAGTATCTTGCTAGACTGTTTGGCCACTGAGTCCTACCTAAAAGGTAGGCTTCCTGATTGGCTACCAATCCTACCCATTTTTGTAGTTATAGAAACTAAATACAGATCCTTCTGCTGGTATTGTAAACACTTGAAGCACGGCACTATATCTAAAGCCCCATTATAGACGACTTTTAATGTAGGATAAACCGTGACATGAATAAAATGCAGAGCATCACACCATGCAGATGCAAATCTGTATGAAGACTAGGGTCAGCTCCTAAAAAAAAATAAGTAATGATAAAGACTGCGAAACTTTAGACTCTTGACAGAGACTCAGTAAGATTCTCTTCATAGAGCACTATGTGGGTTTCAAGTTAGAGTCAACATGCAGATGAAGCAGCGCCTGTAATCCATGAAGTAGATAATTTTCAGTATCTCCATCTTCCTCATACAAACCATATGACACAAACCCAGCATGGACCCAGCTGTGGTCCTGATAATAAAAATGTGTGTGAGGCTCCAGCACTGAGACATGTGGCCAATGTTGCTAGTGAAACTCACTGAGCTTCAGTAAGCTTAATGTAGATCTTAACCATTCAAATGGTAGCATCTTTTATGTTCTTCTTTACTCTATATTTGTTATGATTTATTTTGTGTATTTCCCCAAGAATTTAATAGGAAAAATGATTTTTAACACAATCCCTTCTCTGTCCCCTAGGATTCTAAGGATTTTCTTTTAGATTCTTGTCCAAGAAACATTATGTAAAAGATGGTAGGCTCAAACTGAGTTGGTGACTCTCATCAAAAGAAGTCATTAATGTCACTTAGAATCTAAATATAACAAACTTCTCAATGGCATTCTTGTTTATATGAATTGTGTCACCATAAGAGTATTAAGGTCTACTTACATACCATTGTGAATGCACCAGAACTCATCTGAAAGAATAGGAGGGTATTAGACACAAGGGGATGATGATTGTACAACCAAAGCATGTTGTAATCTGGGACACTGTCTAAAATTGTCAGATTGTTCTGGAGTTGTGTTGCCTGTTATTATGGCATAGCTAGGACCACAATACTTTGGTTTCTGTGAGTTCTGGATACATAAAAGGAATTGCCTCTGTTTTTCTGGGTTCGCTAAGTTGGCAGAGATTTAGAAGATACTGCCAGGAACCACCACAGTTGCTTCTACAAAGTGATTCTACATTCTCTGTCCTGCTTGGCCATCATATGGTCCATTCATCTGTGTGACGACACTGTATTTGCAAGGAAGATGAGACTTTACCACCATGCCTAAAAGAACTTTACAGCCACAACTGCACTAGTGAATGGATGTTTAGCTGGAAATTGTGATTCAGATACACAGATGCCTGAGACTGACAATTTCTCTGATTTCATCTCAATTTCCAAAACAACTTGATTAATGTTATCTAACAGTTTGGTAATTGATGTCTTCACAAAGCCAAACAACAAAGATCTTGTAATTTCTGTACATGTGTAAAGTAAATGTGAATATGTATAATGCAGAGGAAGGGGACTAAGAAACCTCAGAGCACAGGTGAAAGATTGCAGAGCTAAGGCAAAGAAGAGTGAAGTCAGATGTCACTAAATCCCTCTATTTTCATAAGCTACAACAATAGTGTTGATCTATGTCCAATATATAGAATATCATCACTGTCCTCATCTCACTCACTTGAATATATCCCCTTTAATCTCATCCACTGGCCAAAGAAGTGCTAGAGTGTGAGTTCATCACAAATGTTTACTTCACTTTTATTTCCCAGTGGTCACCACAGTCCACACTGGATCACTTTTCACACAATATCCTATTTGCATACAGGGAAAGCATCAACATGATATCGGATCACGAGAGGTGAGGATCAGTCTGGTGGTGAAATAGGATGAAAAGGAAACAAAATTGACCTAAAATATATAATAACAATCATTTAGATTCCAAATTCTTAAACATTGACCAGGTTCACCTGAAATGTGCTATTGTGGTTTGTCATAGTTTGAATATGTTTGGCCTATAGGAAGAGGCACTACTCGAAGTTGTGGTCTTGTTGGAGTATGCATAGCCTTGATTGAAGAAGTACATCTCTATATGGAGTTCCGTGGTTGGGGGCTGGAGGTTGAAGTCTTATGGTCAAGTTCTACCCAGTGAAGAAGAGAGTCCCCTCCTGGCTGACTGGACCAGATGCAGAGACTCAAAGCCAAACATTGGGTAGAAATCAAGGTCTCTAATGGAATAGTTGCCTGAAGGATTGAAGGTACTAAAAGAGACGTGGACTCTGCAGGAAAGCCAACATCATCTAACATGGATGCTTGGGACTCTCAGAGACTGGGGCACCAAACAATAGGTATGCACAGGCTGGAGCAAGGCCCATGGCATAGCAGATGTGCAGCTCAGACTCCATGACGATTCCCTATCAACTGGAACAGGGATTGTCCTTAAAGCTGTTGATTTTCTGTGGACTCCATTCCCCAACAGGATTGCCTTTTCTGGACTCAGTGGAAGAAAATGTACCCAATCCTGCAGAGACTTGATATGCCAGGATTGTGGGATAACCAAGGGGCTCCCACCCTCTCTGAGCAGAAGGAGGATGGGGTATAGAATCTGTGAGAGTGGACTGATGGAGGGCAGCAATTTGAATGTAAAATGAATGAATGAATGAATGAATGAATGAACAAATAAATAAATCAAACTTGTGATCCTCCTGCTTCTGCCTCCTTTAGCAAGTCCTACCAGTGTATGCCACTGTAATTACAGGGGAGCAGAGGGAGGGAGGGACCTGTGTGGAAAAGAAGACAGGGAGCAGAAAAGCAGAACATGATTAGGTATTTGGGGAACAGGACTGAAACCCTAGAAGGGTAGCAGAAAGAATGGAAATAGGCAATCTCAAGAGGTAGGAGATTGAAGAGGAATCCACTAGAATGTACCAGACACCTGGGATTTGAGAGACTGTCAGGACACAAAGGGAGGGATCTTAGATGAATTACCCTACATTAGGGAAAGGGAATTTATAGAGTTCACCTCCAGTAAAAAGACAGGACATTAAGTAGATGGATGGGGTTGCCATCCCAAAATCAAAAACTCTGATCCAGAATAGTTCCTGTCTAAAAAACTTGCAGGGACAAAATGGAGAAGGGCCTGAAGGAAAGCAGGCCCAGTGACATGCCTAATTTGGGATCCAGTTCAAGGGGAGGGCCCAAGGCCTGACCCTATTACTGATACTGTGGTGTGCTTACAAATATGTGCCTAGCATGGCTATCCTCCAAAGACCCAACAAGCAACTGACTGAAACAGATTCAGATACTTACACCCAACCAATGGACAGAAGTCAGAGACCTCTGTGGTTGAATGGATCATGGAGTTAAGAATTGGTGCCCTCATGAAAAGGCATCTTTCTGCCATCTGGCTTCTAAGTGGGCTCCTTCATCACTTTAGCAAATACCATGGATGTCTCTCAGAAAATGACACACACACAAGATCAAGTGAAACTGCAATCTCCTTTCTGGGTGAGAGGGAAGAGAGGGAAGAAAGAAAGAAGGAAAGAAGGAAGGAAGAGACATGAGACTAAGAGGTAGGTACCAGAAGGGTCATCAAGAGTCAGAAGAAAAAGAGAGAAGTTAATGGGGGATGAACCAATATAATCACAGTACATTGCAAATAATAATGATATTCTTTATTTTAAGTAAAATATGTAACAGAGAATACAAAATTTTTAATAGCACAGGATATTAATGTGCATATGGGTGCCTGTCCTTGTATGTGTGTCTCTGTGTAGTTTGTATGTGTGTCTCTGTGTAGTTTGTTATGCATGTCTATCTGTATGTCTACATCTAGGTGTTTTTGTTTGCTTGGGAGATACATATTTTCTTATAATAGGTAATGGTTTACATGACAGAGGTTACCACAGCATCCTATGGCCATATATCCAGTTTAGGTGTCAAGTGCCCAAGGAGGTTGGAAGTGAGAGTTTTCCCTTAGGGTTGGGCATCCCTTCCACTAAGGAAGCCTCTACAGACAGCCCAGATCCCCTTCCTAATTAATCTTCAAGTAATTCTCAGAACACCTGAGGTTGATAATACATTGTAACTCCTACCTTCTTCAGATCAGTTTGTGGAAAAGACTGTGTTGCTCATCTGCACAGACCACTCTTATTTTTTTTTACATTGTTATTCATGTGTGTGTGGTATTGAAGAAAAAATAATGAGATTTCTGCATATGCTGTGGATCATTATTATAGTACAATTGAGGATGAAATGAAGACCAGATTGCAGAAGAGGTATCGCCTATTAATATGAAGTTTCTTTCTCCTTTTTATATTCCTGCTGTTCTCTCTCTCTCTCTCTCTCTCTCTCTCTCTCTCTCTCTCTCTCTTCCTCTCCTTCTTCATCTCTCCCTCTCTCTCTCCCACCCTCCACTCCCCATCTCTCTCTACCTCCTCCCTGCTGCCTACATTCTATACCGATGCAA